GGGGCCTTATGATCTACTATACTACCTTGCTTGCTATCCTGATCACTACCTCACTGCCTGCTGTTCTCCCTGCTATTTGACCTGCCCTTCTGCCTCCCATTCTGCCTCCTATTCTGTCTACCTCACTGCCTGTCTTGCTGCCTGCCTTACTGCTTGTCTTCCTGTCTGCTTCACTGCTTACCTCACTGCCTGCCTCACTGGTGTACCTTCCTATCTACCTCACTGCCTACCTCACTGTCTACCTACTGTCTCTCTTGCTCCCTCCCTACCTACTACCTATATCTATCATAACTATGGTTGATATATATATATGCATATGTATAAACCACTGATTCAGCTAACATACTATATAAACCAACCGTATAATATATATCTCTGCGCATTATGGTATACTAAAATATATATTCATTCCCAAATATATCAATGCTGATCAACCTCGATCTCCTGACATAACCCCCGTAACCAACAAAATGATGTAAATAACTGGCTGTGCCCCTCGTGGTTGGGGTGTGCCTGCCCTAAAAACTGGACCACCTGGGCCTCATCCTGCCCATCAACCCCTATTCCCTGCAACCAGCGCTGCCATATGGGCTGATCTGGCCCTGCCATGGCCCAAATAACATCATGGCCACCATGGGGATCAAAAACCCGTGGTATTTGCATGCATGGCCTGGCTCCCACCTACAGCATTATGGATTGGGGCATGCCGCACAAAAAAACACGCGCTATACAGGGCATATTGCACTTGCTGACGCACGCGGATCATCCATGCCGTGCAGCCTGGCTGTGGGGCTGATGACATGCATATAACTCATGGCCACCATTACCCCCCTGCATGGCGCATATATAACATTGGTCCTGCTACTGCATGTATTTGGCCTGGGCCATCTCCTCATCCAAACCCTGCTGGGTCTGATGCTGCTACTGCTAGATATCCATGGCAGCCTACTGCTGGGCCTGCGCCTGCTGGGCGTGCCATACTGCCATCAGAATGGATGGCTGGCTGCAAAATAACTTATTAGATGGGGTGGGACTGGCAGCGTCCCTAGCAGCCTCACATGGTACCTGGCTCTGGCTGACCTGGGGTGCCTCTCTCCCTGCCTTGCTGCCTGCCTCGCTGCCTGCCTCACATGGGGCCTCTGGGGCTGCCTCACCCGGCACTGGGCTGCTACCAACCCTGGCTGGATCCACCTCTGGCTCTGCCTAATTGGGATTATACCCATCACATATCTGCTCCCCAGGATCTGCATCCTGGCAATACCGCCGCTGATACCCGTCCACCACTCTGTCTAAATACTGATCTAACACGACCCGGCGGCACCTAATGCCTTCCACCACCCCCATATACTCAGCAACCCGCTCCTAGTCCTCATGGGCGACGCCCTCCATCCATGGAGCTGGGGCATCCCACCCAGCTGGCTGGATAATGATTACCTCACTGCGCTGTCCATCTCACCCAGCCCGGCCACTCTCCTGCGCGTAATCCAGTAACGTCCGGGGGGTCCTAATATGGATGATGCTGCAGATATTGGGGATGTCCACCCCCATGCCTAACGCGCTGGTGGTGGTGATCACGGGGCTGGCCCCATGAACCACACCAGCACCCCAGCCTTGTCTAACTGCTCACTGTAATACGCCTCACACCCAAGCACCCACGCCATGGCCGTCACCTGCCCAATGATATTCGCATATATGATGACCTTCCCCCCAGCGGCCCGTCGGATGCAGTCCTGAATGAATGCCACCACCGCCTCACTCTTAATCCACTGATATGGGCCCCGGCCCACCCCAGTCATGTCTGGCCACCACACCTAGTATGCCACGTTCAGCCAGCTGGTCCAGGCCCGGTATATGGTCATGGCGGCCCAGTCATACTTCATCCGCCGGCATAATTTGGCCTCCATACTCGGGGCAACGTGGCGGTCAACCATACCATCTGGGTGCGGGCCTGGACCAACCAGCCCAGCTGAGCCATCTGGGGCCGGAAATCATGCTGGGAATTCAACACCACATGGCATTCATCAATCATGATCCAGTCCAACCACCGGGTCCACCGCAGCCAGTTCAAAAACGTCTGGAAATCGGGGCTCACCGCGGATTCAGGCATCACCAACACAATGGATGCGGCATTAGGGGGCCGCCGGCTCTCCCATGGCACACACAATATGCCAAGCTCCTGGCAGCGCCTGGTCATATCAGCTTGTAATGCGACAAGTAGCACCATAACAATGGTGATGCCCCTGGGGCGGTGAATGCGGGCACCATGAACAGCATGCTCTTCCCCCCACCAGTGGGCATCACTGCCACCACAGGGCTCTCACCCGCTGGATGGCCCGCATCGCCGGGTCCTGCACCCCCTGGAACTGCATGTCGGGCCGCCTGGTCATGCGCTGCGCGGCAGCCTCCAGATCCATGGTGGCTAGCTGGTGGCGGCGTTCCATGCGGCTGACCTTGGCCTCATCCTCCCACGGGGCCTGTTTGCGCTTGCCTAATATGGATGGGTGGCCCGGGGCGCTAAACCCTAAAAACTGATGCTAATCAGTGCTGGATAACTGGAACATCTCCTGCTGGTGGGCCGTGCTGCCGGCCTATTCCTGCATGATATGGCCATATACCATACCAGCAATGTGTGATGAATGGGTGGCCTGTAAATCAGCAATATGGCCTATCCACTGCTCAATATCCATGCCCTCCTCGGCATCAGCATCCATGGCAGCTGGGGCCGGCTTGGCCTCCTGGATATTATGGGGGAACGCGGTGGACGGCCGCAAAAATTGGCGGCTGATGCCAATGGCGATGTCCCGGTATGCAGCGATATGGATGGCGGTGCCTAGCTGGGTGCGGGTTTCCCATTTCAATGCCTCCCGGAACCGCTCGGATGACCATTCGCGGCCAGTACCGGGGTCAGGGCCCTATAACCATGCCTGCGCGGGCTGGCTCCCCTGCGCGGCGTCACTTCCCTGCGCGGCCCGGCTTCCCTGCACGGCGTGACTTCCCTGCACGGCGTGACTTCCCTGCACGGCGTGACTTCCCTGCACAGCATGACTTCCCTGCACGGCGTGACTTCCCTGCATGGCGTGACTTCCCTGCGCTGCCTGACTTCCCTGCATGGCGTGACTTCCCTGCGCTGCCTGACTTCCCTGCGCCGCCTGCGCCGCCTGCCATGCAGCTAACTGATTAATGAATGGCATCACCAGCCATATATACCATACTACTAACTCCCCGACCTCCCGCGGCACATATCAATGGATGATCTTCACATCATTGCTAGCGTGGAACCCCTTATAATATGCCATCACAAATGTCACCATGCCATCCTCAATATATATATTCCGCTGTTGACTGTTCACCATGTTGCAATGCTAAATGCTTAACAACTCCAGGGCCCGCACTGGCTGCCCCACAGTGACATGCACCAGAATGGCTAATTTCTCCTTGAACTAGGCCACGCGCTGCCAGTACTGCTGGATGGTACTGCAGTAGAATCAGCCCCCCCACAGGAAATGCCGCTGCATGACCGGCTTGGCCTGCAGCCAGTTGATCATCCAGTGGGTCCCATCCACCGGCCACTGGGTCCGTGCGTCATGCAAAAAGTTCCACCCCACCTGGCTCTGGCTGGGATCATCATATAATGCCGTCCAGGGAATGGCAGGCATCTGCACATGATCCTACATGCATAAATGGCCAAGTATCTCCCTCACTGCAGTTACTAATCCATGGATGAATCCCCAAAAATCCCCCATTATGAATGCCATCTGCTAATATAACAGTTAGTCCTCCCCCATCCATGTCACATGTCCAGGCGCGGTATAATTATAATAGACCTTTAATCCATACATGCGCCAGTCTAGCAATGTTTCTATGGGGCTGTGTGTCCCACAGATCATAAACTAGTACATCATCCATGTCACCTGCTCCTGGAACAGTCAGCAGCTCTGGCGAATATTGACCGCGGGCAATGGATCATTGCTATGGATGGATGATGGCGGCAATGATGGTGGCAATGATGGGGGTCATCACTACCATATCCCTCATCAATCTCCCCAAGTTGATCATCTGTGCTAGCTAGCACCCATTCAGCGCTCTGGTCTTTTTATATCCAGGTCTGAATGATCTGCCATGGATTCAGGTCCATCCATAATACTTTCTAGACCACCATGAATCGGGCCACCTTGATCACGCGGGATAATATTAGTGGGTAGCTCTCTAGGTCCCGCCAGCCAGCCTCACCCTGACCAAGTACAGCCATGGCGCATACTAATGCACTCTCATATTCATGGCTGCGATGGCGCTGGTTGAGCAGCTCAATGCAAAATTCTAAGCATGCTTTTTCTATAGCAGTCATCGCCCATACCTCTAGGTCCTCTGGGTTCTCCAGGTCCTCCAGGTCCTCCCGGTCCTCCCAGTCCCCTGGAACTGCGGCCTGGCTAGCGAGCTGCCACAGCTGCCGCCATTTCTGGCGCTGCCGCGCGGTCATCCCATATTTCGGGCTGGTCCAGCCATGCGGGGCCTGCGTGCGGGCAATGAATGCTAATATCTACTGCCATGGACGGACATGCTTCTAGACCGCAGCCTCATCCATGTATGCCAGCAGCAGCCGGTATGGGGTCTGCCCCTTTTCAGACCGGACGGCTTCCACCCGGATGGCCTGGCCGCAATGCTGGACTGTCTGCTGGCTCTTACAGGCAACCTGCTCCATGGTGGCCCAGATGACCTGCACGCGCTGCTCAGTGGCATCCTGGGGATCTTCCTCCAGGGCTGCCACGCAGGCTAGCAGGTCATGGGCCTGGGTGCCCTGCAGATAGTCAGCCCACCGAGTCATCCGCAGCCAGGGGTTCGCGTCAGTCAGCTGGCTGGCCTGGATGGCCTGATCGGCCTTGGCCCGGGCCTGGGCCTGCTCCCAGGCCTGCACCACCTCATCCACCGCAGCCTGCACGCCCTGGGTAGATGGGGGTGGGGGACCCCATCTGGATATCGAATATAGATATAGTGGGACCCTGGACCACTAGGGAACACCTGCTGCCATGAGACATATTGAAATGACTGCTGTAGCTCTGCCTCACCCCTAGCCTTCTCCTTTGGGCCTACCCGCCCGCGATGGCCCTGCTGGGACCACTAGTGAACTATTCGCCAGTGCTTTCGCATAGATTTCATAGTAGAGGCAATGAATAAGCATAGTAGATCTCACTAGCAGAGCAAGCCATTTAATTGACATGGTAATATAGGCAGTGGCTGATCTAATTCATATGGTATGTAGATTGCACTACTCTCATACTGAATATCATCCCATTGAGATATTGCCTGGATGATCTGGCTAGTGACTGCATGCTTTAGGTGATGCTTCTTCTTAAGATGCTGATCCACCTCTGCTGGTCGCACCCCCTGCTGGCATTGATGGCAAATGAGTATGCCTAGGGTCGGCACCTGACAAAATAACTGGTTTTCCATAATAACTATGGATGAATATGGATGGATTAAATGAATTTAAATGACTATTTATGAATTCTAAGAGATGGGAATACCTCTACCCCTGAATCTAATACAGGTGCGGGTGATACCCCAACAAAATTACAGAGGTTGAATAAGGTAATTTTATAACCACACCACACCTTCAAGAATGAATTAATAGACCTTAAATTTAACTAGTGAAAAGATAAATAGCTACTCTATATAAGGAAAAAATCTGAGCATTATCAGCCTATTAATACTAAATACACCATGCCACTAAGTGTGTAAACCCACCATGCGCGGACTTGGGGTTTGCCAAGCAATCAGTAGCTACACACCCTAAACGCACCATGACCATGGTGCTCCACCCCTTGTGGGATAGCGGTTATGCTTCGCGCCCATCTCTAACCCATAGCGGTTACGCTTCGCGTCCATTTCTAACCCATAGCGGTTACGCTTCGCGCCCATCTCTAACCCATAGTGGTTATGCTTCGCGTCCATTTCTAACCCATAGCAGTTAGTGGTTCCCGCCTTTCTTTCTCTAATCCACCTTTCCCCTACTCTGAACTCTGGTCTACTCTCTTATCCTTACTCTAATACTCCTTCTAACCCTCCCTCAAATTTTTATTCTAATTCTAAACTTACTATCCTTAACTATTCTTCTATTTCTCTCTCTACCTCTTCTTCTAATTCTTTCTAATTCTCCTCTTATCCTTCTTTTATTTTCTATTTTATTTATTTAATCTTCTATCTATTTATCTATATTTTCTTTCTCTTCTTAATCTATATTCTAATCTTTAACTTACTATCTTTAACTCTTCTTATAATTCTTATTCTAATCCTAAGCTTATTAACCCTAACTCTTATTCTTATTCTTATCTAAATCCTATCCCTATCCCTATCCCTATCCCTATATGACCTGAAACCTAATATCCCTAATAGTAGTTAGTAGTTCCCACTAATATTTCTCCAATCCACTGCTCCCTCTAATCCTCTTTCTAACTCTTCCCTAATTCTTATTCTAACCCTTATCCTTCTATTTATTCTCTTCTTAAATCCCTCTCTAATTCTTATTTTAATCCTGAACTTACTCTCTATAACTCTTCTTCTAACTCTCCTTCTATTTCTCTCTTTAATTCTGATTCTAATCTTTAATTTACTATCTTTAACTCTTCTTCTAATCTTTAATTTACTATCTGTAACTCCCCTTCTAATTCTTATTCTAATCCTATACTTATTGTCCCTAACTCTTATTCTTATCCTTATCTTAATCCTAATTCTAATTCTTCTTTTAAATTCTTATTTTAATTCTTAACTTACTCTCTTTAATCCTCTTTCTAACTCTCCCTCTAATTCTTATTCTAATTCTTAATTTACTATCCTTTACTATTCTTCTTACTATCCTTCTATCTCTCTCTCTAACTCTTTTCTAATTCTTTCTAATTCTCCTCTTATCCTTCTTTTATTTTCTAATTCTTATTTTTTCTCTTCTATCTATTTATCTATCTTTTCTTTCTCTTTTTAATC